ACCCACATGCAGAGGAGTCATGGCCTTGCTCTGCATCCCGGCACTGACCTGTCCCCTGTCCATCGGTTTCTGCAAACCTCAGTGGTCTCAGGAGAGCGCCACTTGGTCTGCCTGGGGCTCATGATGCCGAGAGAGTCTCCTTCCTCAGGAATTTCCTGCTTTGGGAAGGCTGCCTCCTTCCCATGCGAGTTCCCACAATCTAGAACAAGGAGCAGGAGGCTTAACCATGGACTTCTGCTTCCTGTCCCTGGAGACAGAATATCCCCAGGACAACATCAGGCCCAGTCAAATCCCTGCGAGATCTGTCACAGGGAAGGGGTGGGGCCCAGAGGGGGTGGTAAATTCGAGCAAGGAGGCTCCAGGGAGATAAACTTGAGTGACACTGAGCAGGATCTTTGCCAAATTGGGGTACCATGCCCAGTGTGGCTGCCAGCAGGGCAGTGACCCTCTACACCACTCCCACAAGATGGGCTTTGTTTTCTCTAATTTTGAAGGGCTTGAGCACAGAGAGGCTAAACAGCTTGCCCAAGATCACACAGCTGGCAAGTGGCAGAGTCACACTCAAGGCCTGAGTAGTCTTAACCCCGGGCCACACAGGTCCCTTTCCATCTCAGGGGTCCCCCATGTCTCACTGACAAAGACCAGGAAACAGTTGTCTTGAGCTGCAGGGCAGAGGCCTGCCCCAGGCCACCAGGCTGTGGAAGTGTCCTGCACCACACTCTCTGGAGTGTGGTGCTCTCTGGGTGGGCCCTGCTGCCTACACGTGCTGGGCTGAGGGGTGCGCCCTGGGGTCATCAAGACCTGCCTGCCAGGCCACTGTCCAGAGGCCAATCCACAGCCTGGACCCCTGGCCACAAGCCCTGGGTCAGATAGGCCCCTTTCACCCTTCAAAGTGCTCAGCGTGCTGGGCTCTGTCACCGCCAAGGCACCTCTCCAGCCTGGGCGGCAGGGGGCAGGTAACCCTGTCTGGGCACCAAAAGCACTAGCCAGGGCCATGAGTACTGCCCGGCACCCGGCGAGGCTGAGCCACGGGTCTCAGTGTTTGAGCCCTGTCCACCCGAAGGTCCTGGTGGGGCGGACCTTTACAGCTCCTCCTCCTCCAACTCCTTGGCAGACTCCTATAAACTCGGTTTAGGGCTTAGCTCTGCTGACCCTGCTTTGTGCCCCCTGGAGCCCCTCAGCCCTTGTGTACCCTCCCATCCTTGGGCCTCCAGCAAGGACAAGAATCTCAGCCAACGCAGATAACCCTGTGCCTAGCACACAGCAGCACCGCAGGCACACGTGGGGAGAGGAGTGGTCTGTGTCACCACCAGCCACTGGGGAGCCTTGGCTCAGCAGGTGCGCCCCTGTACTGCTGTGAGCCTGGCCCTGACATTCAGGGTCTGGTTGAGGGAGGCACAGCTACAACTCAGGGTAGGGGCTGTCTGGCCATGAGGTAGATTCTGTCACTATGTGGGGCAAGTTCTGGGGAAGCTAGCTCCACAGATTCCCAAAGGGGTAAGGATTCGGGCACCAGCCCTGGGGTAAGTCTCCTAGAAACTTGCAGCCAGCCCAGGAAAAGGAAGGGCCTGGGAAGCTCTGTCCGAGCTCTCCGGGTTCCTAGATTCTAGGCTGGGTCACCAGTTCCCTTCACACCAGCCAGGAAAATGGGGGGCTTGCTGAGTAATGGGTGTGTGCACACAGAGCAAGGCTGAGGGCCAGCAGGGAACATCCTGAGCTGGACCTGAGGGTCCCTGGACCTGGCGGTCACTCAGGGCAGAAGCAGGTGGTCCAGGACATTCTGAGGTTACCTTCTCATGCTCTATGTGCCCTGTGTGCCAGTCCCTGCTTCTCCTCTCTCTGAACAGGTACAGCCAGGCCTCTGCCCACTCATTCACCAGCGTTGTTAAGCCCCTGAGTCATGCTAGCAGCCACCTGCCCCCAGAATTCTCATTATGGAGGCAAAACAAAACCTCCATTTTAAAAGGTACAATTAGATGGATTTTCTGTTCCTTGCAGTTTGAAGGCAAATTTCTAATTGAGCCAGACCTCAGGCTGAGCAAGCTGCAATTTCAGCTCAGGTGCAGACAGAGCTTCCTTCCCTACACCAAATGGTTGAGGCCCTCGCTGGGCCGGGGACTTCCAGGGAGGGTGTGGGTGCCAGGGCGAGTGCTGGGACTTGGGAGTGCAGGGACATCTGACAGATGTTTTGCTGCTTTCCCCTCCATCTTGTTTCTCAGCTGGAGCTGGGAGCCAGTATCAGTGGGTGTTAGGTCCTTTCAGGGTGGAGGTGGAGTTTTGTGCTTCTCTGGAGCAATGTTTGTGAGCCAAGGGCCTGGAAATTAGAAGCTGCGGAGAAGCAAGGTTTGAGGGAGGAGTGTAATGGGGCCCTGTTGCCCCAGCTTAATGAGCTCCCTAGCTTGATGTGGGGACAAAAGCCTGAGAGCTGCCAGGTCCCTGGGATTAGCTAGCTTTGCCCAGGTGCAGCGTGACTTGCATCGCATTTCGCATTTTGCATTTCAGAGCCTCTGGAGTGCAGCTGAGCTGCAGGATCCCCAGGAGCAGAGGCAGGGCTGGGGGAAGGGTGGGCTTGGCAAGGTGGGCCTCTCCTCTCAGCTTCTCATCTGCTCCCCCATTTGGGCTGTAGACGTCACCATTAGGTCCAATGAATTAAGAGACAAAGAGCGGAGTTATTCCCAGACCTCTGTTTCCAAGGCAACTCTGGCTCTGCCCCTCGGAGAGCAGGCATTGGAGCAGTGTTTTCGTGTCCCAGTCCCTAAGGAGGAGGAGGGATGAACATGGTGAGCTCTGGGGAGAGTCTGACGGCCTTTAGGGTGCTGGGCAGAGTCTGTCCTCTCCCTCCGTGTCTCTCCTGCAGCCCTATACATCTGCCCGCACCCAGGTCTCCCAGCCAGGGTGTCTGTGTCCTCCTATCCCCAAGGGGCTGGTGAGCACTGGCCAGCACGGAGCCTGGGGGTTAGGAGACATACATCTCTCCTTATGTATGCCCTCAAGTGTGAGTGGCCAGAGCTCATGGGGGGGTGCATGTGGCTGGAGTTTGTTGCACCAGTTGGAGAGGGGCGCCACACCCCCCGGCTCTTGGACAGCCAGGCCTGGTCTTGGGTGAGCGCCCCAAGGGGCTCTGAGAGGCTGGCCAGGCCGCTCTGCATGCAGGTGGGGCCAGGCACCGTGGCACGGCCTGTTCATCCATCAAATGTTTTATTTTTTGACCCTCACCCCACTGGTAGATGATACTTCAACTTTAAAAATGCCTGTCTCGAGGAGCCTAAATCTAGCTGTATGCAAAGGGCATGAATTGTGTCTAGACGGGAAGAAGCCTTTGCTAGAAGCCAAGCTGGGGCTCTGATGACCAGGTCTGACTCTGGGTTGTGCCCACCAGTGTCCAGGCACCTGGGGCTGGCTCCTTGGTCTCTAGGCTTACAGCACAGCCAGACATGGGCAGGTGTCCAGGAAGGGTCTGATCCTAATCCCTGGAGCCTGTGAATGTCACATGATGTGGCAGAAGGGACTTTGTGGCTGTGATGAACTTTTGGCTCTGAGAGGGGAGACTTTAGTGAACTGTCCTGGTGGCCCTGAATGTCATTTCAGGGTCCTCGTGAGTGGGCAGCAGAGGGCAGGGAGGGAAGCAAGCCTAGGAGCTGTGGTCTGAGGAGGGAGCAAGGGGCCAGGAGCCAAGGAGTGCCAATGGCCACCAGGAGCTAGAAAAAGCAAGGAATGGGTTCTCTCTAGAAGGAACACAGCCCTGCTAGAGCCTTGGTTTTAGACTTCTGACCTCCAGAACCGTTGAGCAAACTCATGTTATTTTAAGTCACTAAGATCATGGGAATCTGTTCCCCGCCCCCTGCCTCTCTACACAGCCTCCCACCATATCCTGTTGTTCATTCTTGGGGTTGACACCATGTCCTGGGCTTTGGGAAGGGCCTGGGATGTCTTGGCTGTGACCATCTGCTGGTACCTCTGACCTGCCTGGCTCTGATTGGACTCAGCCTGGGAATCCAGCCTGGCCTTGGCTGGAGTCCAGCACCCTCCCCACCCCTCCCACCCCCTGCCCCCCATACACACACCCTGGGGAAGCTGGCTGCGGTTGGCAGGAAGCCCTGGGACTGGATCTTGGACCTGCCTCCACTCAGTTGTGTGACTTCGAGCTGGAGCCTCAGGTCCCAGCCTCTCCTCAGCCAGGGGGCTGTGACAGGGTCCCCCTTAAACAGCTTGGCATAGTGCCCCTCCTCCTGCTCAGAGCTTGAGTTGGTGCCAGGACAGAGAGCTCTGTGGGCTGCTGGGGGCTGGTGTTTTGGGTGGGTGCCCGGCAGACCAGGCTTCTCTGTTCCTGGCTCAGCCCCTCGCCTACTTCCCAAGCCACTGGCACACTCAAAACGCCACCTGCCTCCTGCGTCTTCAGACAGGGCAGGTTAGAACCCCAGTGAGGAGTTGGGCTGCACTTCCTGCTTCCTCAGGGATGGGGATGGGGCACCCCAGCTACCAGCAGGGCCCTAGGACCCTGGGAGTGGGGCTGTCACCTAGGCAGGAGTCCAAGGCCAGGGCAAGCCCTCTGCCAGTGGATTCATTTTTTTTTCCTTTATTTTTTATTCTCTAAACTGTTTCAGAATTTCTTTTATCCTAGAAACAGGGTCTCATTATGCTGCTTTCCACGATTCCCACTTCACTGGGGAGGAGACCAAGCGGAGTGAAGTGGTTCCAAGGATCATGGAGCTGGTAAAGGGTCCACCCGAGAATTGAACCGAGGCAGCCTGACCCCTGAGCTGCGCTCCAGTAGGGGCTGTATACATAAGTCTGTGTATGTATGAGACAGAAAAACCCCAAATAACTGGCTTCACATGGTAGAAATTTATTTCCCTCCCAGCCCCTCCAGCCCCACCGGGCCCCTTTCCCCAGTGGGTGGCCTACAGCCTCCCTCCCAAAGCCTCCTCCCTCCGCACAGGTGGGAGGCAGACACGGGAAAGGACAGAGGAGTTTCCGCGGTGGGACTCTGGGGTGCTCACCCAGGTGCATGGTGAGTGTCATCTTAGCTCGGGCTGGGCTGGTGGACCCACCCTGTGAGCTGCAGCTCTTGGGGGCCTGGGGCTGACACCCGCAAGCTGCCATCATGCTGCTCACAGGTAGTGGAGCACGGAGGCCAAGGCTGCTGGGCAGGGAAACTGAGGAAACAGACCCAGCTGGGAGGAGCCAGTGCTGGCTGGATCATGAAAGATGCTTCAGGTTTATTCTCCAAAGCTGGTGGAATGGGGAGGGGAGAGGAGGGGAAGTCGCTGGCAGAATGCTGGCCAGGCCAGGGTGTGGCCAGGTGGGGTGGGCAGGGGTCAGGGAGCTGGTAGGTCAGGGTCTTCAGGGCCCCATTGCCCAAAGGCCAGTGAGGAGGCTGAGCAGGAGGGCTGTGCCCACACTTTCAGAGCCACCTGCTCCATTGCCCGGCGAGTCCTGGACTCGGGAGCCCTGCCAGGGTGGGATGTTGCACAGGGTGGATTGGCAGCAGGTCACGGTCATCTGGGTCCCTTCTGCTGTCCTGGTGACAGGTTGGCAGCTATCTGCACACCACGTTGAGTAGGTGGTCAGGAGGCCTGATTCTGGGGGTGAGGGTTGGAGAATAGGGGCTGAGGCTGGGTGGGGGTTACCAAGGGGGCTCTACCATCTTGGGTGGGTGTTGGGGCATCTCACTTTCTGGCTGCCCAGATGTGTATGTGCCAGGGTCCCATGCCCACTCACCAGTGTTCCCGTGGGCCACGAGGGTGGTGCAGAAGGTCTGGCTGAGTGCGCAGCTCTGCGTCAGGTTGCAGCTCTCTTCCCTGCGCAGGGACTGGCAGGTGTAGCACCGCAGCCCTGGGGACAAGGCCTGGCTCAGGCCCAGGCGGGCCCTCCGAGCCTGTGCTCTGTGTCCCTCCAGTTTCCTCTTAAGTCCGGGTCCACCTCCCTGTTCTCAGCTGCCCCCCACAAAGCCTGCCCTGCTGCAGCTTCCTGCACCCCTGCTCAGACTGGCCAGCAAGCCCACATCGGGCCCCGCATGCCTAGCTGTGCAGGAGCCTGTGCTGTCAAGGGTGAACTTTCCGTTCATCTTCTTGTTGGGTGGCACTGCCCAGGCCCCTGCTCCACGTGGGTGCAGAGGACCTGCAGGTGAGCCTGACTCAGTCCCACCTCAGGGAATCCTGCCTGGCAGAAGAGGACCCAGTTGGGGGGACCTCATGGAGGGGCATGGGGTGGGGCTGGGCCTATGGGGAGAGAGCTGGCAGGCAGGGGATGGGGCTGGGCTGCAGGCACAGGTGGTGCAGGGGCAGACCGTGCAGGTGGCATGTGGCCATTTGCTCTGCTTTCTTCTTGGGAACTGGAGAGAGGAGAGGGTGGGCCCAGCCATGGGGGGAGGGGCTTGTTGGGTTTGCTCTTGCTCACCCCCACTCTGCTCTGCTCAAAACCCTTCCCTGGCTGTCCACCATCTGCCTGCTCCTGCCTTTCCCACCTGAACCCCAGCCCTGGGGCCTCTGCATTCACCAGTCTCCACCCTTGTGAACCCCTATTCAACCTCTGCAAACCATGCTGAGGGTGAGAGGTAAGGGGTGTGCTGAGTGTCCCCTGTTCCACTGGAGGCAAGCTCACAGTGGGGGGGCGAGGAGGGAAAGGGACGGTGGCTGTGGGGGGATCGGTTTTGGTACACTAGCCCCACCCAGCTGGCACCACACTGAGTGTGGAAGGAATGCTCTGGCAGACTGGGAAGTGCAGGGTCCCGGGTAGGGGTGGATGGGGTACCTCTGCCACTGCTGCCAGGAATACTGTTGGCCTCCTCCTCTTCATCCTCATCGTCATCTTTCTCTTCGTAGGTGTCTAGCCCATAGTCCCCGTCGTCGTCCTCCTCCTGTAGCTGTCCTCTCCCTAGCCACACAGGAACACCTGTAAACATCAGCTGCCCGGTACCGAGGACACCCGCTCTGCTCTAGGCAAATGCCCGCACCCAGCCCTCCACCCTCTCCCCCAACCCCTGCCCCCCACGCCCTCGCGTTCCTGAGTGCCTCATTCCACTCCCTCCATGCCTGTCCTGCAGCCAAGTGTGTCCTGGCATCTTCATTACCAACGACCCAGCCGCTGTGCACCGGCCCTTCGCTGTGGCCACCCGAATCCCCACCCCACATAACCCTCTCTGTGGCCGGCCTGTTTTACAGAAGAGGAAACTGAGGCTAGGAGAAAAGCCAGATCCCCAAACTGCAGTGCTGGAGAGGCCAAGCCTGGGGCAGGGGAGGAGGGGGAGCCTGGGGGAAAAGAGCCCCCAGGGCCTGGCTGGGGCCACAGATGTTGGGGACCCGTGGTAGCCCAGGACAGCCTCCATCCTCCTCCCTCTGGCTAGAGACTCCAGCCTCATCCCCTCCTCTCCCTAAGCCCACATCTAGTCCCCAGGCTGGGAGTCCCAGGAGGTCTCTGTGGTCAGGGACTGTGTGACCCTGCTTGCAGGGCCACGGGTGGCCCCACACCTGGCTGCCTGCATAGCAGCAGGGTGAGCAGGACAGCCCCGAGCGCCTTCATCATGCTGGACGCTGCTGCTCACTCACGCTGGGTCCTCGCTCTGGGCTCTGGATCTGTGGTAAGTGGGATGAAGGGCATTGCTGGGGGGTTCCTGGTGGCCCCCACCAGCTCCAGCCTCAAACAATGGGCCTCACACTGGTCCCCAGCTCCAGGCACCAGGCCAGGGACAGCCATTTCCCGCCAGGACCTCTGCGGCCCAAGGGGGAGGAGAAGTCATTGTGGCCGGTCTTGGAGCGTCCTGTCCACCTGCGCTGCTTGCTGCACCTGGCGGAAGATGGTGCCGGCCACAGGAGGCACTGGGCCCCACCTTGCCTCACTGGGCCTCAGAGCTTCAGCTCTGCAGCTTGGGGCAGGGAGCCTCACTCTGGGCTGGGCAGCTCCTGGAGACGCCTGGCAGCCCTCACCCCCTTGTCTGGAGTGTGGACACCGTGGCCCTGCACAGCCGCAGGAGCTCCGGGTCAGGGACCCTCTATCTGCAGACCCTTGGCCAGGCATCTTGCCCTCAAATCAGCATCACACCCAGGGCCTCTTTCAGTGTTTTTAAATAAAAAAACAGCCGATGTCCTTCTGCTAAGGCTACACTCTCAGCTCCCTCCTTTCACCTCCGCCCTGCCCCTCATCAGTGCCCTCGCTGGACCTTGGCCTCCTGGCTGCCCCTTGCTCCCACCTCAGGCTTTTGCCCCTGCTGTTCCCTTTGCCTGGCATGCTATTCCCACCAGTATGCACCTGGTTGTCTCTCCACCGTATTCAGTCTCTGTTCAGATGTCACCCCTTCAGAGAGGCCTTCCCCGGCAGCCCCATCTCATGCTGGGGCTTAGGACAAAGCCTGGTGCAGGTGACAGCTCTTCAGGGTCCGGTAGGATCACAGTTCTAGTCACCCAGCCAACAGGCCCTCCTTAATTCCTATGGAACCTGTCATTCTTCTACCCTATGGGCCACTCCCCAGCCTCCAGCCCTCCCTGTACTGGCTGCCAAGGTCACTTTCCAAACCAGGGTCTCCTATAGCAGTGCTCACCGCCATAGCTGGACTCATGCCCCCAACCTCTGCATGCCTAATGCTCACCTTGCCCTCATGTCCCATCCCACCCCTGCTCTCCACCCGTGCCCCACCTGGCCCCGCCCCCTCGAGTCCCATCGTACCCCTGCCTCCCACCCGTGTCCAGCCTTCTGCCCCACCCTACCCCTGCCCTCCACCCTTGTCTGGTCCCCCGTCTCTCGCTGGGTGCCCAGCCTTATCACAGCCCCTTTGACTGGGGGAGCTGCGTCCAGGAAGAGCTCTCCCAGGGTTCTCAGAACTCTGTTAGGAAGCAGGGGCGTCTTCACCTGCCACCCCCTCCACACGGGCCCAGGCCCCTCGAGTTGCCCCCCTCTGGGCCCAGCGCCTGTTGGGCCCAGGTGCAAACTGCCCAGCTCAGCCAGAGCCTGTGACAGTCTACCTAGGGACAATATCAGCAACATTTAATTCACTAATTGAAATTAAATTTAAATGTATTGGTCTTTAAAAACTCTAGGGGGCGGTAGTATTATCCCTGCTTTACTGCTGCCTCCATCCCTCCCACGGCCCCACATCCTGCTCCCTCTCTCCCAGCCAGGAAAGGCTGTGGGATCTGGCCTAGTCCATACAGAAGGTTCCACATGGCCCCACGAGGCTGGGGGAGCTCTGCCCCCTGCCCTGACACCTTGGTGACAGACACCTGGTCCCTAGCACTGCTCCAGCCTAAAGGGCAAAGTGACTGGCTCAGTGTGTGTGGAGCCTGCCGCGCCGCACCCAGGGCAGGGTTGTGTCCTCTCAGATACTCCAGGGTGGGGACATATTCCTTGAGAATCCAGGGCCGGACCATGCCCCCATAGGGCCAGGGCTGAGGGCTGATGGTCCTGAGGGCAGCCACTGTGGGCCACTTTAAAGCTTGTGTCCTATAAGACCCTGCATTTGACCTCTTTTCCAGGCCCACGCTTCCTCCCCAGGCCGTGCCCACACCCCACAGTGCCCTTTAAGGGAAGCCCAGTCACCCCAACTCCCTGCCCACAGACCCCTGTGCCTCAGGGCCCTGGCTTTGCCTGCTGTGCCTAGCTTGGCAGGGCTGGCTCCCATGGGTGACTCTTCTGGACACTGCTGGTCTCTGGGTCCCCTCCTCCCCGGGGGCCCTCATGAAACACGTTGCTCTTTCTGGCAGCAGCAGCCCTGGACCCAGAGCTCGGTTCTCCTTTCTGCCCAGTAGTGGGTGAGAGGTGAGGGTGGGGCTTGTGGGGAAGTTAGTGCTGGCATCCTGCCAGGGAGGGGCTATGGGCTCTGCTGGCCTTGAGGGACTACTCTGAGCACTCCCCTGGTAACCTCTGGGGACACATCCAGTCAGATCCAGTCCCCAAGGAGGCAGCCCCTGAGATTGGGGTGGGAGTATCAGGGATGCACCCTCGAGGGGAGCATGTTGGGTCGGGGGGCGAGGGGTGAGCAGTGTTTGCCTGTGAGGAAGGGTGAGCGAATGTTTCTGACCGAGGGCCAAGGGTCTGGCATCCATACTGGGAGAGTGGGGGCTGCAGATGTGCCAGCCCTCACGACCATCTCCCTGCTCTCGGCTCCTTCCCACCCTCTTTGCAGCTGACCTTCTGTTTCTGGGAATCAGGGAACCTGGTTCTGGCAGACAGAGGGGCTTCCTTTTTAGAGCAAAGTCCAGACCTTCCTACCCTGGGTGGGTGGGGAAGGGCAGCTCTCCCGGGTCCTTCTCCCCCTGAGGACCCCCTGGTGCCATGTCAGGCAGGCTGCTCACCACAGTCCAACTGAGGCACAGGCCCCTTTCTTCCCTGGAATCCAGCTGCAGACAGAGGCAGATGTGGCGGGCCAGAGGGAGCAGTCTGTCTGGTCCTAGAGAAGCCACCACACCCTGCACCCGCATTCACCCCCAGGAACCCACAAGGGAGACGTGTGACGGTCTCAGAAGCTGGTTCATCAAGTCTTCGTGCATGTGGGCATCCTTCCCTTGTCCGTGCTCCCTTCCATGCCAGCCCATACCCCAGGAGCCCTTTCTCTAGTCCTTAGACACTCTCGGGCCATCCACATCAACTCTGGAGAGTCTCCCCTTCCCTCACCCCTCCAAGCTCCCACCAGCAGAGGGTGGCTGACAGAGGGTGGCTGACAGAGGGTGGCTGACAGAGGGTGGCTGACAGAGGGTGGCTGACGGAGGAGACTGACATCTGTCTAACGCCAGCCAGCAGGGCCCCAGCCCTCTGCCCTTCCTGGCAGTGTCTTCTCCTGGCTGCAGAGACTCAGGCCCATCACTGCCCTCTCCAGAGTCCTTTCTCCACGAACCCCTTCTGTACCCACCCCCTGCGCGGGGCACTTGGCCCGGCTGAGGGTTTAAGGCTCGGCTTTAACACCCTCCCACCAGAAAAACACAAGGGCAAGGAACACACTGTACATATCATTATTTTACCCCATTAGAAATCAATCTCCCTCACACTGGCATGTTTAAAAAGACTAAAAATAATTATGCAGAGACTCTGCAGCTGTGTGGAAGATGAAGGCTCTCTTAACATCCTGAGTCAGAGCTCAGGAAACAGATGAAGCCAGGGACCCGGGTGCTGCCGTGAGCTACTTTGTGTATAAGCAGGAAGTAAGGCGGCTGCGCATGCCACCGCTGCCTGTTCACGCAGGGACACTGCCCCTCTGGGCTCACTTTCCCACACTGTGGCCAGGACAGGGATGGTGGCCAGTGGTGGTGCACATCAGCTCCTTGGTCCCCCCAGCCTAGGCCAGATGCCATCCCCTACTCTTGCCCACAGGCACCTCCTCCTGACTGCCCTCGGCCATCATCTGGTGCCTGTTCCATTCTGGGCTCACGACTCCAGAGGAAATGGGGCCTGGGACTCTTAAGACCCCAAAGCTCCCATGTACAGCATTGTCCTGCTCATTTTGGAATGGGCCCTGGTGGGGAGAAGGGTCCTGGCTGTGGGTGGGCTTGGGTGGGAGGCTGGGTGAGGGCCCCAGGCCCCAGCCCTGTCCACCCCTCCAGCAGCGGTGGCCACCAGCAGCCTCCTGCCCCTCCCTGTTGTCCAGGGCTCAACCTAGGCCTCCTGCCCCTGCCTGGGTCCCTTCTCCTCCTCCTAGCCTGACTTAGGAGCTCTGTGCTTAGCAGGGTGACTAGAATGACCCTGGGGTGCAGCCTTCACATCTCAGCCAGAGCACGTGGCTCTGGGACTCTGGGGCTCTGGATGGGGGTCTGGGGCCAGGGGGTGGGGGGCGGGTGGAGGTCCAGAAAGCTGAGGCTGAGACTCCTGCCCAGGCCAAGGTTGGTTTGGGCCCTCTGTAGGGGTTACTGCTTTGCACAGCAGCTGCGACTAACTGCTGGCCAGGGCCAGCTAGTGCCTGGAATGACAGCTACTGAAGAGTGGTTGCTTTGCTCTCTGCTCTGCTCCCAGGCCTGGCATGGTTTTAGTTGAGTGCATTGTTTGGTTGGAGCTTGGATACTCTGCATCTGACTTTACCTACAGATGAGGAGACAGGCCCAGAGAGGCCAGTGCAGGCTGGTGGCAGAGCCAGAGGCCCTAGGTGCTTGTTCAGGCCTGGGTGCCCTATGCCTGGGAGAGCAGGACCCCACCCCATATGCTCCGATACCCCCCAGGGAGGATGAGCCCCAGGCGGGGAGCTGCACCACATCCACTTGCCAGCGGGTGCCCCTGCCACCATGTCTTTGTCTATGGGACAGGCTTGGCAATATTTTCTTCACTGGGTTTGGGGGCATTTCAGCTGGGGTTTGGGTATGAAGGGGACTGGGCCAGTGGCAAACAGGTGCTCACAGAAACAAGAGAGGAAGGTTGGGGGATCTGGAGCCCGAGCCTGCTTTCCCAGTGTGACCTTGGGTGGGTCAGGGCATCTGTCTCAGTCTAGGCACCTGTGAAATGGGATAACCACAGCCTCCCTCTAAGGGGTAGGGGTGTGGGGCAGATCAATACATGAAAAGCAGTTGGCACAGTAACCGCCACATCACGCCCTCGAGGGTCCCTCTTGGCTTTTGCTGTCACCCCTCCCCACCTTGTCCCAGGGCTGTGGCCACAGGT